AGCTGCCAGTCGGTACCACGGCGGGGGGAGGAGAGAACGGTCCCTGTTGCAGGTACCAGGCCTCTGCCCCCTGGCTGGTTTACCTGGTTTCTAGGCAGCCCCTTGTGCCTCCCACTCCTGGTGTGTGAAGAGCACATGCCCCTTTGTGCCCCACTCTCCACTGCATCCCTGGAGACAGGGAGTTCCTGGCCCCAGAGATCTCAGCATGTGTCACTCACAGAACCAGAAGTCCTGGCTCCCAGCCTGTTGCAGGTACCAGGCCTCTGCCCCCTGGCTGGTTTACCTGGTTTCTAGGCAGCCCCTTGTGCCTCCCACTCCTGGTGTGTGAAGAGCACATGCCCCTTTGTGCCCCACTCTCCACTGCATCCCTGGAGACAGGGAGTTCCTGGCCCCAGAGATCTCAGCATGTGTCACTCACAGAACCAGAAGTCCTGGCTCCCAGGCCCCTGCTCTAACCACTAGACCCCACTCTCCTTCCAGAGCCTGGGATAGAACCCCAGAGTCCTGGCTCCCAAGCCCCCCTGCTCTAACCACTAGACCCCACTCTCCTTCCAGAGCCAAGGATCGGGCCCTGGAGTCCTGGTTCCCAGCCCCAGCTTTCCAGATCTCACTCCTCAAAATCCTGACAAGTCTCCTTGGATGGGAAATGCTTTTCCTTGCTGGCTCAGTCCCGCCCCCTTTGGCAGCTGAGGATGATTTGGAGGGCAGGGGAGGGGGGGGATTTTCTGGAGCGGCGATCCCCACGTCAACCCCCGATGCTGTGGTCCCCATGCCCCATGTTACACTCACCCCCCAGCAGCGCCAGCCAGGCCCAGAGCAGCAGCCTCCTCATTGCTCTGGCTGCAAAACAAGGGGCAGGGGAGAGCGTTAATTGGGGAGAAAGGGCCATGGCTGAGGCTCCTGGGCCCCTAGGGTCAATACAGCCACTTTCACTCCAGGAGTGGGGAGCAGAGACGAGGATGCCGGGGCAGGACTCCCAGCTTCCATCTCCATCTCTGGGAGGGTTGCGGGGGCTGGAGTATGAGCAAACTGGGGACCTGGGGGACTCACTGGATGGCCTTTATCTGTGTCCGTAAAAAGCCAGTGTTCCTCCCCATGTGCACCCTCCCATCCACCCACCCACACTCCCCCTCCCACCACACCCCCCTGCCCTGGGACTGTCTCTAGCCAGTAGTTTTCAGCCTCAAGGCCAAACTCCTACCCCCTTATTTTGGCCCCTCATTCAGAGATCTCCCTTTGGGGCTGTGGGTGTCCAAGGAGGCCTGTATGGGAGGTACCATGCTGGGGATGGGGAGCACCTGTACTGACCATCCACCCACCCACACTCCCCCTCCCACCACACCCCCCTGCCCTGGGACTGTCTCTAGCCAGTAGTTTTCAGCCTCAAGGCCAAACTCCTACCCCCTTATTTTGGCCCCTCATTCAGAGATCTCCCTTTGGGGCTGTGGGTGTCCAAGGAGGCCTGTATGGGAGGTACCATGCTGGGGATGGGGAGCACCTGTACTGACTGTCTGCACCGCACCAGGTGTCTGCACTGCTCCTCTCCCCCTGCACCCAGGCTGCTGTCCCCAGAGCCTGTCCCCCCTCCTGAGCTCCAAGGGCTGGGGGCAGGGGAGGAATTCCAGGTGCTGGCTCATGGCTCAAGGCCGGCTGGGGACAGGGGGGAAGAGAGGAGAAAATTGGACTTACCTCTTCTGTGCACCTGCCACCCAAGCCGGAGCCCGAGGCTTTATATAGCAAGGGACTCACTGCCTGTGTCTCCAGGTGACACTGTGGCACAAGGTATTAGTCACAGCTTCCTGGAGTGCCGGCACATGCAGGGCAAGTGTCTGTGCAGCCGGCCAGCCCGCTCCAGCCAGTGGGGGAAAGCAGCCAGGGA